GTGGCCTTGAATTAGAGACTAGCCAGACCCTTCTGAAAACACACACAAACTCAAGCACACACACGCACACACACCACTCAGAATGGTCACGGTGTCTTGTTTGCTTCTAGACATTAATTTTTTTAGGATCTTGGAAAGACTGATGAAGAACTTTGGGCACTATGTTAGCACAGTATGTCACAGAACATCAATTCCCTTTAGTGTAATATTTAAAAAATGCCTCTCTTGAAAGATGACAATAAACTTATGTGGCCTAGCCAATTTTCACTAGTATTCATATATCCCTTAAGAGCTGACTTTTATCTGTCTCTGAGCAATTTTTTGAATACAGTTTTAGATACTTTTGACTAGCATTTTCCAGATGTTTGAAAACATTCTGGCAATAATGTTCAAAGTTTTCTGTTGAATCAGCATAAACTAGATGATTAAATAAGAGATTCAAAGAAACAAAAAGCTAGCTGATAAGCTATCAAGAAAAACATTAATACAGAATTATGTAAAATTTTATATTGTTTTTAAATTGTTGCACAACTAAGAAACATGAATAAATGATTTAGAATGAAGTCATATAAAGGCAAACGTCCAGTTTAAAACCTTGGGATTTTAGTTAATTGCAAATTTCTTACAAGCCAACATTACATGGCTGCTAAAAACCTCACAGCCTTCAGACTGTGTTAGTGTCCAGATGTGGAATATTCACATCCAATTCAGCTACAGAACGAATATTCCCTCAGTTCCAAACACATTTTAGGAGGAACACTGACAAATGTTCATGTCTTTAGAAGAGCAATCAAGATAATATATGAGGAAGAGTTGGATGAGCCAAGACTATTTATCCTAAAAGGAGGGAGGGTTGACATGTGGAAAAGAAATCCAAATTCCATGTACCTTTACTTTACAGTGGAATTAAGGCCAGCATATATACTTAATACATTGTACTAATTATTTTCATTTTAAAATTTGCACACACCTATTGCACACCACACACACACAGCAGAGTATGTGCCACAGCACATGTGTGGAGGTCAGAAGACAACTCTTGGGACCCAGTTTTCTTCTCCCACCATGTGGACTCCAAAGATAAAAAGTCACTGAGCTCATGGGAGCTCTCGGACTCCAGACCAACAGCTAGGGAGCCTGCATGGGACCCACCTAAGCCCTCTGCATGTGGGTGACAGTTGTGTAGCTTGTTCTGATTGTGGTGGCCCTAGCAGTGGGACCAGGATCTGTCCCTGGTGCATGAACTGGCTTTTTGGAATCTATTCCCTATGGTGGGATGCTTCTCTCTGCCTTGATGCAGGGGGAGGAATTTGGTCCTGGTCCTGCCTCAACTTGATATTCCACGCACTGTTTACTCCCATGGGAGG